GGAGAGCCACATCCCTCTGTAAATTCTCATCTTCTTCCTCATGGTCAGAGATGAACTAACCAAGTATCAGAGTAAGAAGTCAAGACAGCACTTAAATCATTTTACCAAATGTCTTTCTTGGATCAGAAAACCTAAGTTAACATTCAAAGGAGGTCCTTACAAACAGGCAAAAGAATTGATCTGAAAACACATCCTTTATTTTGCTGCTGTTAGCCTGATGTCTTCTGCCAAAAAAAAAAAAAAAAAGGCTCTCTTTTTTATTATGTTATAGGCATCAACATTCTGTATGCTATTTTCTGCATGAATTTTGGGGTTAAGTCATATTTTACTCCTCCCCAGAAAAGATAAATAGTTCTGATTTTTTTATTTTTTTTTAAAAAAGGGTCATCATACACTGCAGAGACATTTTATTAAATACACTAGATGGCTATGAAAACTTGAAAAGCAAATTTCAAGCCATAAAGCTTTTATTATTTTTAAGTATTTAGCCATAATTTGCCTTTACCTTATCCCTTACTTCATTACTGCAATTATTTCAGATGAACAAGTTTAAGAGAAAAAAGAGCAGCACAGTAAAACTGAAAGCAAAAGGCAGCAAAATATTTTCAGTGATTTAAACTCTGCTTTTGAAATTCATATTCACATTTGATTTGGTGACCTCAGAGGAAGCAGGAAAACTGCATATTAAGAATATTTTTCTAGATGGAGCATATTTCAAGGAAAAATAGATAACTTTTGAGATATTTATTCACTGCTTAACTTTTCTAATTCTTTACTCCTGTAGAAAGCTATAAAGAAGCATGGTGTGTTTAATTGATTAGACAAAGGTATCTGCTTACTCAGCCTAAACAGAGTTTAAAACTTTTGCTAAATCCAGCTCTTAGAACTTAAAGCCTGTCAGATAAAAAATATTGAATATATTATGGTTTGAGAATAAGCCCATACATGGACACTATTTATTTTAAACTACTGAAAAGAGTATTAATTGGTGTTGCCTTCGCAGTACAGGTGTGCTGCTGGAATGCAAACAAGCACAGATTATGCAGAACTAAGGACAGGCAGTGATTCTGAAATGTTAATTAGAAACACAAGGGATATGAGAGTGTAGTGGAAATAAATGAATGTGCTGATTGGGAGAAAAAGAGAAACCTGCTAGAGCAAAGCATCCAGAATAACACTCCCAGTAAAGACAGAATTTTGTGGAAGATGAAAACCAACACCTTAATGTGAATGTTTAAGATGCAAGAAAGACTATTTAGTAACAGTTTGCTTCTACAGTTCACTTCTATTCAACTTCAAAGCCACAAGAGCTTTGACACAATTTCACTTTTTCTACTCGCATCTTCCATGTACCTTCTATTGAGATGACCTTTTCAAGCTTCAGTCAAACCATAAAACAAAAAAATCAAGGCAAGCAAAACTTAGAAATAAATCAAAAATGAACCTGATTCTAATGCAGCTTACCACAAACTGTAACATCAATTAAATAATAATTTAATTATATTAATAATTTATTTTAATATTTTAATTTTCTAATATTAATGAAATACAACAGAAAAAGTGAGAAAAAAACTTCTGGCTGTATCCTCACGTAGAGCTCTGTGCAAGAGGGAAGTTCAGATTGAATTGGTCAGCACAGCACACTAAGGCAATATTGCACCAACAAAGGGGGTTGTTCTGAAATAAAATCCTCACAAGCAAACACACTGAACTTTACTGATCCTAATATTTTAAGACACGGGAATCATGAATTCTGTTACATTATCAAATGATGCTGACACACAGTTATTTCAAATATAATCAGTATATTGGAATTCAGAGAATAAGTTCCAAACACATCTAATTTTATCTTTTATAACTAAAGGATCATAGAAGAGTAGTCACTAAACACAATGACATTAATGACATTTTAATAGCCATGCTAATTACAGGAGTCTTACATGCAAAACCAATGGACTATAGAGCTTCATTGTTTCAGTATGTAATACTGAAATCAGATTATTTCTTTCCTAAATTAATCATTCCAGACTCACCTGCAAAGAAAAAAATATTTTTTGCCTACAGGAACATGAAAAATATTCCTGTGTGTACATATATGCCCTCCTCAATAAAGTCATCCATATTTATAGGAGTTGTTAATGGCTTCTTCACTCAGACCCCAGTTTTCCTTACAAAACAGCAAGATCATATTATATATTCATTCCACTGGTTTTCCATTAGAGGAGGAATGGAAGGGCACCATATGAAATCTGGTTCCCATCTTTCACGTGAGGGCTGAGTCTCCATTTAGGGTGGGGCAGTAGAGCAGCTGCAGATTTGGATTTGCAGAACTCCTGCAGCTCAGGAGTTCCCAGCTGACCTGGACCTCCCTGAACAGCACAGGGCTCCTGCAGCCCCCTGTCCCCACTGATGGTCCCACTGAGCTTTTCTTCCTTTCAAACACACCACACAAGGAGAAACCAACAGCCTCAGGAGTACACTGATACCCACTGCTCTCTGTATTTCACTCACAGGTTAAAACTCTTTCATTCCTGTTGATTTGTGTGTTTGTATTTTTGTTTCTTTTTAAACAAACATTAACAGATCATTGTCACGGGCACATTAACTAATTATGAACTCCTATTTTCAAGGAGATAACAGTACTGCTAAGACATCTTTGTAACACTAGCTCTAATTTCTTGAGCTAAGCCTAATAATTCACTATTTTTAAAAGACATATCTGATAATATTTAACAGAGCAAAACAATCTGGCAACATCCCCTTGCAAACACACATGTACAGACTGACAGATCTCATCCCTCACCAGCTTGGGGCCCTGAACCACAGAGATATTTCAAGCCAAGTTGTAAATACACTGTTTCTGACAAGCCAGAATTGTTTGCAATAGGATCCCTGCTGCAGGTACATGCACACAAAACAATGTGAGCAGTCAGTGGGGGATGTACTGTAACCCCCTTCACAACAGAACATTTCTCCTCCAAGGAAAATACCACCAAGATTAGAAGGTACAAGAAAATGGCTCGTTTTTAAAATTCTTAAAAATAATAATGACAAAACACAACCAGTTTTCTGAAGGAATTTTTATGTTCAGATTGAACTGTAGGCTCGAAGACTCCAGGGGCCCTTAGATAAAATGCAGATCTATTCTTGCAAGTTACAGTTCTCAAAAGTGTCCAATATGTCAGACACCAATAGCCTGATGCCAGATTTTTGTGTGTGTGAGAATGGAGAACAATGGGGACTGTAACATGAGGGGACTTCTCAAAAAAATCCATGTCAGACTTGGAAAGCACTGATTTGCTCAAATTCAAAAACACTTTTCACTATGAACCCTGTTCCAAGCTCCTCCCCACCCAAAACAACAGACAGAACTGCTACTTCTCAATCAGAATTCCAGAAGCAAGAAGAGAAGCTCTGAAAAACCATTGCTGCTGATTTTGTATGGAATGCATCCGCAGATTCTGAGAAAGGATTATAATAAAACAAATACTGCATGGATTAACAAGCACTCCAGATTATTAAAAAAAAAAAAAACACAAAAAACAAACATTTGAAACACTCAATAATTACTTCCTTTGCTTCAAATCCTAGAGCATCACTGTTATGACTCCATCATCAGGTAAATTCATGTGGGCAAGGACAGAAAATCTCACACCAAGTGGCTTCAGTGGCTCAGTAAACCTCAACCTGCCGTTAAATGAAGACCAAGAACGTGGCACCATTTGACTGCTGTTTTATCTCAGTGGTCATTTTGAATTTAGCAACTAAGCAACTTTAGAGTGTTTTATGTTGTTACCTATTTTTCAGGCTAATACGAGATCTTTACACTGGTACATTACTGTGTCTGAGGCCACTGGAGTTATACTGCAGTTTCTTTACCAGATTGCATTATATTTCCTCACAATTCCTATCTACTTTCAAATTTAAGCAAACCCCAGGGAACGCAGCCATTCCGTATTTTTGTTGATAGCTTTGCTGCTCTACCCCCATCTCTCTCCAGAGAGCTTGTTAGGTGTAATACCTCTAAGGAAAAGGTTTAAGCAACAGTTTGTTCCAAATCCTGAGAAAAGTAAAAATAATTTTAATTATGTTCTCATTTCCATGCCAGGCCATCTTCTTTACTGTGACATCTAACTGCATTCTGCACTGCAACAAATTCTGTGAAACAAATGAAAAAACATCCCTGCCTCCTGAAGCTAGGAAGGCAGTTTTACTTATCCAGGAGTAGGTATCTGAAATGCCTATTATAAAAATACTATAAAAACAGTTGAATGGGTATTTCTTGGAGGAAAGAAAGGCAAGAGAAAAATCTGCAGTATAGCTTGAAGACAAGGCTTCACAGCTGCATTTGTCAAGCTTCAGCTGATTCTGAATATATCCATTCAGTACAGGGAAAACCAAATGAGAAACAACAGGAAAAAGAAAGATGTCAGGCTGCTTCTCCTGCATTGAAGGAACTAATATCACTATAAAAGCTATCAAACAAGGTGTTCTCATTTCTTATTGCAAATGTATTCCTACAAACATTGCAAAACCACCAAACTATTCAAAACTAAAATGCAAAGTGCCACATCCCCTGTCAGCTGCTGTGTCTCTGCCAGAGGCTTCTGTTCTGCCCCAGCCTTTGTTTAATTTCTCTTCATGTTTCAACATGTACCTGTAAGACAAATTTTGTTGTTTATTAAGAGGAAGACAACTAAGGGATAAATGAAGATGTGAGCATAGACATAGAAAATTAAAAAAAAAAAAAAAAGAAAAACATTTAGGAAGTCCAAAAGGAATGGAAGCTGTTTGCTGCTTTCACTGTAAAGGGGGAAAAATAATACAGGACATTTTGGTTTTCTGACACATTTGTAAATGAGGGAATGTGGAAAAGTGTCAACTCAGGCTTCAAAGGAAAAGCTCTACAGTGACTCATCAATAAAATTTCAGAGTGCAGGCAAACTGCACTCTGAAATTATATTTCCAAAACACAATCTATAGTTTTCTGAATGATAGCCACCACATAGCTTATAGCTGTTAACTAAAACGGTGATAGTTCTACCTAGGTTAAAGGATAGTTATACAAAAAAAGTAATATTTTGCAAAAAATGACAGCTATTACACAGCTTTATTATAAGTATTCCTTGGTGAACTCATAACAAATCCAAAAGGTCTGCAGTGACAAAGTCAGTGACTCCCAGGGCAGTGTTTTAGAACATCAGGCACAGCAGATTTTTACAGAGGACACGGGTGGACTTGCAGGAGCCAAGGTGAAAACAACAGGAATACCTAACCTTCAAAGAGAATCTTCACAAAAAGCTGGACCTGCACACCTTCAAACCCCTCAATCCTGTCTCTAAACAATGCCCTGAAAGCTGAGCCTTGCCAGTTCCATTTTCTGCAAGCCTCACTATTGGACAGTCTCCTTGCTGAAGCTGAAACCTGTGTTACTTTAATTAAAACGTAATTTATCTCCTGTGCAGGTGTTTTGTTTGGGGAGGGGAGCTGAGATGATTTTTTTTAATCAAGAATTGTTCCATTTCTTGATTCGAGCTTCAGCTTATTGTGAGAATAAAACCACTGCAAAACATTTATCTCTGTGGAAATGAGCTCTCTTCCCTAATACACAGAGATGCCTTGGAGCACCAAAAGCATTCATCTGAGGATGGTGAAACATTTTGCTTTGAGCAGTTCTGTATCCATGCATATAAACTCAATCTCCAGCAGGTGAGATTCATAATGTTGCTGAAATCCATCAGAGCCTTGTCATCCACATCACCAGGATAGGGATGGTTTATTCATAGAGGAAGAGCCATATTCTTTCTAAGAAAATACAAAAAATCCCTTACAATTGACAATATGTTACATAAAGGAGTCTCTTAAGTAAACAGCTGGAACAGCTCGATTTCCTGATCGCTGATCAGTATTGCTGATCACATTTAAATGTCACTCCAGCCTAGCATTTGTGCTTGATCCTGCTTCCATTAAAACAAATGTCAAAACTCCCATGAAGATTATCTCCTTCATAGGCCTTAAGGCTATATGAAACACTCTTTTTGAACTCATATGTGCTGTAATTAGAACAGCATAGTCCTAAAGAATTATTAAGTATACTGAGAATACCATGAGGATGCTAAACATCGCACCTCTGCCCTGAAGAGGGTGTGAAGCACCTACTTCAACTTCCATATTTTCTTTTATTTTTCAATAGCCATGTAAGAAATAATGATCTACACCTTCACTGAAAATTTGGTTTTGCACACTGGATATACAGCAACTAAGAAATAGTGATTATTCTCCCCTGCTTGAAACAAAATGCTCCCTTCATGTGTCATACAAGAGAGTCATTACTTCCAATTTGCACATACAGAACCACTCATGCCTTTCTTTGTGCTAAGGTATGCAGCCTCCACAAAATCACAGAATTACTGACCTGAGTGAAAAAGTCAAGGCAGGCCTTAAATTCAATGCTTCCTTAATTAGACTTCTGAATTTTTGTTGCACATTCCCAAAGCCTCTGCCATAGCAAACTAAACCTCAATGTCTCGTTCCTTCAAGAAAAGGGCTTTATTTTTGGATATGGCAGCAAGGGCCACTTCCAGCAGTGCACCTGAAAATGTAAGTACAGGAAGGATTAATGCTGAGTACCAAGTGAAACACAGCAAAAACACACAATTCTGGGGGGGGCTGGAAAGAGCCTCTCAATTGCAACCCACTTCACAGCACAGCCAGAAAGATGTTCTAAACGACAGGGGAATAATAAAAAGATGGCAAAACGAAGTCCTTGTGGGTTTTGGAATTCCTGCTGTAAGCAAGGGAACATGTCAGCTTAGAGGGGCTGCACACAATCTTTTCTGATCAAACTCATTGAGTATTTCCAGTCTTGCCCCATCTGTGCAGTGCATGGTCAGCATCCCTCCCCTCCCAGCCAACACAAGCCTCTATTACAAACTTGTGCTTAGAGCATTGGTCATTTAACAAATAAAAATAAAAATCCAAGAAAAGCCCAATCAAGGCTAATTTCTAACACAGTCTCACTAGGCAAACCCAGCTCTCTACTCACTGCTGGGAAAAAGAAAACTGCTCAAAATTCTCATCTTTTAGATTTACAGTATGCAGCCGTCGCTGGATTAGTTGACACCAGCTGCAAAAACTCATCATCTGTAACAAGAGATTCTTCTTCTGTTGGCACAGACCTTCTAATAGTCTTCAGTCCTCACAGAAGACAAATATTTCACACGCAATTTTCTTTAAGGCGAAGTACACAGCATTCCATGTCGATTTTTAATTTTAAGGTAGTTTCGCTTCCAGTTTGCTACAAGCAAAAATCACTAAAAGCATGAGCCTTTCACGAGTTTTGTAAAATAAACATGCTACTCTGGAAAAATTGTTCTTTGTTTTACAGATGATTTTATAGTTCAGTGGCATTTCCATGGCCAGTCATGCACTACTGCAGTCAGAAAAGATGAATTCATCCCTCTAAGGAATTAATGCAATACTGAAGGATCATGTTACGGTCTTCTAATTACTTTATGGCACCCTACAGAGAAAATCAACTTTGAACAGCAACACACTGATGAAAACATTACTCTACTTATGTATCATTTTAGTACAGCACATCAGGCTGTCACAATCTAACTCCCGCATGCAAGTCAAGCTTCTAGAAATGTTAAAAGTCTTAATTATTATACTTAATAACATTAAGCCAAATTCTTCCCCAAAACAGTAAAAAAAAGGGAATACCCCTCACAACAGATGGTGGGGGATGGAAGGCTGTATTTGTTTTTCCTTTATATGAAGACATTGTTCAAAACCATCACTCTGCGCTGGTGACCACCGTTACTGCTGAGAAGTTTGCATAAATTGTTTCTAGAGCTACAGAAGACACACAGGAATTGTAATCAGCACCCATAAATTATAGCTATAATTCTGAAAAAAAGCCCAAGGACATAGCAAATAGAGCCAACACTACTAACACAATGGCAATTCATTGATTTTCCTTACAGTAATTCCAAACTATATGCAGGTATATGAACTTGGAAACCAATACTGAATGGGATTTCAAACACTTTTGTTCTAGGAAATGTAAAAGAAAAAAACCAGACCACCAACCCCAGCTGTAATTATCATTATCTGTTGCTTAAACAAATACTACAATTTTATAGAGAAAAATAAAAATGCATTAGGTCCTGCTCTTCTGTGCTGAAAATATTCCCAAGATGCCCTTGCTAAAATAATGACCCCAGGAAATGTAGTCAAAGGCACTTCCCTGCCCCTCCAAATAGACTGTGCAGAGATGATCACACCACATGCATTTCAAGTCAGGTTCTGACCAAAAAACTCAGGATTCCAGGGTTCATCAGGAGAGCTTTGTCCCCTGCCTTTGCTCTGCTGAGTTGGCAGCAATTGAAGCATTTCACCATTAAGCTGCTCCATGGTATGTTCCTGCATGTAATCTCAGGCCATCGTTAACACGTTACAGCTAGAGGCAATCATGAAAGAATGATCAATTAAGCACATGATTAGCAATTTTCCTTGCCCTGTCCAACCCCCTCAAATTAAGTGGTTCAGGCTTGACCATTGTGCCACAATGAAAATGAGTAAAACACATTTAACCTCATTATTCCTGTTTGAATAGCAAATTACCTAAAACCAACTCGTTCAGCCATGGAAATGAGGAACTGCAAATTGTTTGTTAGCATTGTCTTCTCCACATGTCCTTTCTGCTCTGAGTTCTATCACATCACCTGCAATTTATAAAGCACCACAAAATACTTCAGAGGACACCAGTTGGATGCTAAAAACTGGACTGATTTCAACTAGGAATGATCTTCAGGATTTTTTTAAAGTAGATCTTCAAAGAGTGAAATTGTAATAACTTAATTGACAAACTTGTGAATAACTGCTCCTCCAAACCTTATTTTTCCCTATTTGACCAGGTTATCGTACGTACTTCCCCCACCCTCCCCTTTCATCTGTTATTTTTGCTTCATATACAAAAAAGCTGTTTTATTCCACAAAACATCGTGTATTTGGGCACTGGGAAGGGTCTGTGACTCATTCCACTGAAATGAGACCAGCATCCCTATGACTTAGAGATACAGCACCTCTATGAAGTTGAAGAGAGACATTTGTGTATGAAAATAGGATGAAAGAATATTCCTGGTCCAGGAGCTGAACTGTCAGCATGCAGAACAAAGTCTAATAACTGGGGGAGGGGGGCATTGGGGAAGAGGCCATCATCAGCTGAAATGAGATTTTAATAGAGTTAACACTTTCACTTGCAGTTTAAGAACAGAAACTGATACAGAAAGATGCAGCTCTCAGTGCACTTCCCTACTCTCTTCCTCCTGGCTGAAAATAAGCTTAGAGGAAAACTTGAATTAGCAGCACAGGACTGCCTTTGGTTCACTTCCATGAAGGGTTCTCATTGGAACAAGTGCTCTGTGTATCCCTTCAGCTCTTCCTAGGCTCATTCCCAACCTGCAAGTTCCTTAGTGAACTGCATAACCACCTGTGGTGTTCACACGTTTCTCCTTTATTTCATTAATCTGTTTTTGCTATTTGATGGGTGGAGCTCTTAGAGAATCTCCCACCAAATTTATTTTCTAACACATGGCAATGTTGTCAGCCATGACATTTCATCCACTGCTTGTAGGGATACCCAGCACTCGAGAGTAATCTCATGATTCAGACTAACATATAGAATTAATTCCCATATATGCAACAGCTGGGGCACAGATATTTACATCTGCACAACCATGGATCAGAGCATGCTCTTAGAAACTGGGACACATCAACATCAGTAACACAATCAAATGTGGCTGAGTGAAAATTTGGTGAGTGAAAGTCTAAGCTTCTACAAATCTGCCAACTCATATCTCAATATTTTTGTTCAAGGTGTTTTGGAAGAGTTCTGGATTGACCTTTGCAGCACTACTTTACTCCTAAGTGCATGGCTCATTTAGATGTGAAATGCTACACATTTCCATTTAGATTTACATCAAAACAATTTACTAAGTCAAATGAGAAGGTGGAGTTTGGGGAATGAATAGAGCTGATAATGATGAGTTCTTTATTTTCCTCCTAGTTTTCCTTCCTTCCTTCCATCTCTGCTTACAGTAATATTAATTAATTACACAAATATAACAGCCTTGAACTGTCTGGTTCACTTCTTGAGACTGTGTCATGTTCCACACTGCCAGAATTCATTTTCTGTCTTTATAGATTCATATCTTAGATTTTCCTTTTTAATTATTCAAATAGAAGAACAGCAAGGTTGGGCAGCCCACTGTTGAAAATACAGTATTAAGAGATTTCCCTAGAGAGCTCTGCCACAAACTTTGTACTACCATGTAAACAAAACAGTCCAAAGTACAAATTAAGGGTGTTCTTCGGAAGTTCTACTTAACAAGTTTTGATTTCTAGTTAAAAGAAGAAAAATAAAAAGTCTAACCCTTCAGGAAATTCAACAGTTCTTTCAAGTATTCATTTTAAATTTTCTTCTAGGAGAGATTCAACACATTTCATTTCATTCTAATTAAGCAAAAGGTGTATCAGAACAGCAAAAAACAGGTATGAAATACAATGCATTCAAAATGCATGAACAGCTGACAAATATGCATACACCAATGCAAGCAGATTTCTGCAGTGCTAAAGTAGAGCTCATCAAGCTACATTAAAATCCCAGGTGAAAGAGGAAAAGAAGCAAAACCTGCACACAGGGCAGGTGACACTATAAATTGTTCTTGTTTTCCCTTACAGAATCCAATTCTTCCCCAACTTCTTAGGAATTTCCAGAGTAAAAAAGTGACAGCAAAGTGCTTTTCTTCAGTTCTCTTGTTTTTAAAAATCTGGTAACAGCAACAGTGAAAAAATACAGCAAGTTTTTTTCATATGCTATCAGAAAACATGCATGGAAAGAAGGATTTTTGGGTGCTCGCCAAATTGAAAATTAAGCTTGAATTGCTGTTGAAGAATCCTTTTAGAAATACAAAACTATCACAAACCAATTCTTTCTCTACAGTGTGGTTAGTGGAAAGTGGTAGTCTCTTGTCCTATTACTATTTCCAGGTTACACTTCCTGGACATCACAGAAAATGCAGCAAGGACACAAATTACTCTTCTGTGATCAGAAATCTTCAAATCTTATTTAAATGATCACAGGTATTTTTCTGGATGTTAATTAAGTTTCTTTCACATCAATTTTAGCAAAACACTATTTTTGATTGCAATCTCAAAAACTGAAGCTCAAGGTAAAAATTACTATGCCAGTTGCATTGGATGTAATTGTAGTTTAGATACTTCATATCTAAACCATCTCAGCTATTTCTTATAATGACATTTCAACAGATATCCAACCTTATGGTAACACTTTTGCATTAAAAGCAGTAGACTGATAGTGCATATCAAGTTCACTTATCCAGCCAGAAAAACAACTCTTTGATGTCCTCACTAGCAGGAAAATGCACTATAACCATCTAACACAGAGTGAAAGAAAGGCTTTCACATACAGTGAAAGAGTGAGAAATTATAAATATGGAAGAAAAGAACATGATTAACCTTAAAAGTACATATTATTTAGAAACAAATAAAACCACACAGTTACTCATATTTTATATGGCTACTACCATGGCACACTATATTTTGCAAAGTAATTACCATAATGTGCAAATACTTCTATGGGAGAAACTACAAAATAAATCTGGTTTTTAGTGGCATTTTTGAGCATGGATTGTATTATGCAGCTTCCATACACACTCATAAGGTAATTGGGAAGAACTTCTAGCATTTCATTCTTCATAGGCACTGAAAAGTCAATGTTATTTAACTGTTGCACAAATGTTAATAAAAAGTCATAATCCAGGGAGCTTACCCTGGGTCAACAGAAGGAATCCAAGAACCAAAGTTATTTCCAAAGTCCAGACAAGAGATCTGAAAGAGAGAATAACAAAGGGTTTGTGACAAAGCTGACAGAGAGTCCTCTGAAAGGAGCAAAATCAATTGTGACGTTTTTCATTTATTTGTAAATGCCTCTTTGGCAGTATGCTCACTCCAAACGACAGCTGATTCTTACAGAATAGGGGAGGAGATGGTAAAATAGAGGAATCCTGACAGTTGCTTTAATGAGATTCTGCATTAGGATCACTCCACCACTTTCCCTCAACAAGGAGTGTGCCCTTCACTTTCAATCTTACATCCTTCAATTTGGAAAGCATTAATCCTATGAAAAACTCAACTCAGCCTCCTCTAATCACCATCACAGCTCTTCTTTCCACGTCCTTCACCATCTCACAGACATTTATGTATGGAGTCCACTCACAATTTAAAATACGTATACGTAGCACAGAGGAAATTCAACTTCAACCCAACAGCATTACTTTAATCAAAGTCTAGTTGCAGTGTGTGTGGTGAGGACAAGGATCTCGAAACAGACCTCAGTTGATATTAGGAGTGCAAACTCACAGAGCTTTCCTTCCAGCTCTAGGAATTATGCTGCTCGAAGTGTTCAATGCAGGAACCTCTGGTGTTCACATTTTCTTTATTACAAAAATAAATAGGGAAATCTGTAACATGACAGGGAACTTGCCTTGCAAATATTGAGAGAATAATCATTCTGGGAACAGAAGCAGACAAGGGATTTTAATAACTGTAACAACAGGCAACATGATACCACCTATTTCAGGAAAAGGCCACTGGCTTGAGGATCCAGTGCTTGAGTGCACTTACTCTGACATAACTCTTATCTGACATATTCCATCCTTATGTTTTCCAATAATAACACATTTTTTGTTGTTCAAACTCGTTTTCTAGTGCTATATCACATATCTCTAATGAAACTAGATGACAGCACTGAATATATCATGGTAGCCTCAGGCTGCACTGGAATTAGTATTTTATCCTCTGTTAACATCAGTAAAACATTTGTATTGCAATGATAAGGTTTTGTAAGAAAAACAAACACAATAAAAGCATACAGGCATCGCTACAAGAAGCCTGAGTCCCAGCTCTTTTGCATGCTCTAGCATCTTCTGTGAAAGGTGAAGGCAGAAGAGAACAAGTCCTTTGAGGAGCAGCTGAGATAGTTGAGGGTGTTCAGCCAGGAGAAAAAGAACCTCATCACCCTACAACCACCTGAAAGGAAGCTGGGACCAGGTGGGGTTGGTCTCCCAAGTGACAAGCAAAAGGACATTGCCACAAGCTGTGCCAGGGCAAGTTTTAGAGTGGCTATTAGGATAAATTTCATGGAAAGGTGTGTCACACCCTGGCAGGGGTGCCCAGGGAAGTGGCTCAGTCTGGCTCAGTCCCCATGGCCAGAGGTGTTTACAAGATGTGGCACTGGGGGACATGGGCTGGTGGAGGACTGGGAAGTGCTGGGTCAATGGCTGGACTCGATGATCTAATTCTAGGCAAACAGGATTGATTTGAAAGAACTAAAACATCTGAAGTCATTCTGATCAGAAAACAATTGCACCTCACCTCTGGACGAAAGCTGGCTAATAAGTCATGTTTGGGAAGTTCACAATTAATTACTCTATATCTAAATCTGCTAGACAATATAGATGTTGAATAAAGATCATTTATTTCCTGAAAGAAGAGAGAGATGGGTACTCTTCACGTGTTACAGAGCAGTCTGCTTGACAGTCTTCAGAGAACCAGTGGAGAAATCCATGGCTCAGCAAAACTTCCATTTTTTGTCAGATTAATTAAAAAAAGCACCCAAAACTTTTTGAGAGTATTGTGGAGGTTTCCAGAAGAAACCTTTTTGGCACCTTCAATTTGAGGATCCAGACTAAAGGTGTAACTATGAAACCTTTTACAAAATCTTTCCTGGCGTATAAAATCTTTAAGAGTCTCAACTGATGGAATCAAGGACTGTGATTCACTTTCAGCATCAGCATTTTTTTTCCTCTGAGATTTGCTCTTTGCTGAAACTCTTTTAAATTAGTGTAACAAAGCCCAGCACAACATTAAATCACCTCCCAAGCATATCAATCTCAGTTAACAAAGAAGAAAAACTAGAGTACACTGCAGAACTAATTCTCTGGAAGTTTCTTCTGATTGATATCAGATCTCTGAAGTTAAATAAGCCCTCATATTTCATTCCTAGAAATATACAGTTACTCCTAGTAACCTTTCCCACTTGGATGGAAAGCAGGAAAGGCCAGATTCAGGCCTCTGCTCTGGTAAGGGAGTACCAGTGAAAAATAATGAAGTCAGAACACATTTGGAAAAAAAATTACTATTTAGCTCCTAGGAAGGTTGCTTTATAATTCAGACAGGTGATCTGGAGGCACAGCAGAGCAATAATGACTAACATCACATACTAGAGGGAGTATAAATTTTAATGATATCACTCATAAAACCCACATTCTAAAGGTTACAAAACAGAAACAAGCTTACAAAGAAAACACATAAATCATTCAAGGTGTCAGGTTCCTATTCCTTAGCTATTTTAAGAACTAACAGCCTGTCCATCACTAAATAAACTGGAATATGCTGTACCCATTTATGCAGGACTGAAAAGGGAATGCACACCAAGTTCAGCAACATTCACCCCTACAGACTCCATTCTTAACAACACAATAGCAACAGCCATTTGTAACTTGACTGATTTATTCATTACTTGACAAAATTAAACAAAAACACTTGACCAAATTCACTTGCATCTAGATAAGATCACAACAACACATAATTAGCACCATAATTACATGGACTCCTAATCCAGAGACATTAATGCACTTCACTATTTGCTCATACACACTTCATTGTAGGCTCTTAAATATGGGGCATGAACAGAGGATTAATAGGGCATTCCCATCAACAGACCAGACCACTTTCATCCCATGCAGATGAAGAGAAACAGAGGTTTATATTACCATTTTTAATTACTGTAATTGGTCTGCAACTGCATCTGTAGCTGTCCCTATGCACACACTATCAACACAGAACCATTTAAATGGCTGGTTGGGAAATGGTCACTTAGGACCAATAAACCACTGTAGACAGTGAACTTTGACAGACCCATCATTCAAACCCACAAATCACCTTTTGAGCTGGGCTTTACATAAATGAGGTGTAGTTTGGCTCAGTGGCCATTTCTCTTAGGCACAGAAGCTGGCACCTGCATGTCACTGTCAGCAATTTCCACCTCCACAGCACAAACTCCCTATTCTAGAGGCTCCTTCTGGGAGCAGCACCCAAGGGCCAGGCTCACCACAAAAAGCTTCCACTGCATAAGGCTTCCTGCCTTTCATCTCAGATATCAGGCCTTTAGGATTTGGTTTTCACAGCTCACTCTGTTTTCACCTCACTGTTTGTTTTTTTTCTTAGTATCATTTGGTACTGGAGCTGTTTAATGGATAACCCAAAATTGATTTATCCTTTTTTTTCAGAAGTAGACACACATTGAAAGAAAGACACTTGAACAAGGTCGTTTTGCCGTGCTGCAAAGTCCAGCAATATTATCAGCAAAAGCCTTATCTGAAATCCTCCCGTGTCAAACAGAATATTTCCACTGGCTGGATGTAATAGTGAATGCAGATCTGGGATCTTGTCTCAATCTAAATCAGAGTGCAGCAATCAACCACTCAACTCCAGAACTCTCCCTGGTGACACTCATGGGATTTCAAACTGCAACCTCTCATTGGAAATTTCTGCATCCAATTACCACTTATCAGAGGCCCCCAATCTCTTAAACTTTAATGGTTAAAGAAAACTCAAGTGCTTGGTTTACAAAGGCAATAAACACCTTAATGCTTTCAGTAAGCTGTTTGCCTTACACTGTGTTTTCAGTTCTGGAATCTTTTCCTGTAGCTCTGGAGGAACTTTATTTAAGTAAACTGCTAACCTGTTATTTTTCCAGTCTTTGTTTCCTCTAGGAAATTATTTAAGAAGAAAACCCTCGAACAGTGATCTCAGCATTCATACAGGAGTGAACTTCAGATACAGTAATTGCATAGCTGTGAGCTATGACGACTTTCCCATGGGGGAGAAATGACCTGGTAATTCAAGAATGACAAAGTCAAAAGTAAGGTAAGCTGGGGGAGGGAAAGGATTTCCCCCTAGGATGAGATAAATATAATTTCTCACAGCAGTGTATATGTCTCTTAAGCCTCAGGTGGTTTTAAGTTAATGAGATTAGTTCCAGCAGGCAGTGAAATCCCAGGATATAGGATTTATATTTCAGCAGTTTTCACTTCATCCAGCAAGCACGGTGGAGTCAATCTTTGTGTCATTTTGTTATTGTCCTGGTTTGGGTCTTGTTCTCAGGCTCAAGCCTGGCTAAAGCACCTCATAACTTTGACTTAAAAGCTTAAGCATCATGTAAAGAGTGTGTTTAAATGTTTAAAAGGGAGGAGAAAGGAACCAGGCTTAATCCATAGAAAAGGATTTTTTTGTTTAACTTTTCAGATGTGCTTTTATTCAACGGAATTTGTTCTTGTACTTTTACTAAACCAAGGTCACATGCATTTTTATCCTGAACACACAAAAAGCCCCCAGAATGCACTGCTGTAAGAAGCATTGCCTTTATAATATTTACACCCTAAAAAGATGGACATCAACAGGTTTGGATGACTGTTCAGTGCTCTACCTGCTCAATGACTGCCACCCAGCCTGGTAATAACCAAAATGAGCTCCTATCCAGTGACCACCCACTGGATGTACAAGCTGCAGTTTCACTCCAGCCCCCAGATCTGCTCACACAAGAAAACCTTCACTTCTTTTATACCATTACAAGAGCTGTAAAGCAGAAGGCTTTTAGAAGATTTAAAAAATAGGGAAAAACCAAGGTTAGATGACAACACTGATTTCCACTAACAACTCTTCCACAACCAACAATTTTGATTTACAATCACCAAGTAACTGCTAATTTAGCAATTGTTTATATTCTAGATACTTTTTTTAGCTGTGAATTTAAATTTAACCTTGTT